CTGACCAGCAATTTCACCTTGGGGAATTTATGCTCAAAAAACTAAACAAAACAAAACAAAAAAAAACCCACAAGTACTAGCATCTCAGGTTAGATAAGCAGCAATGTTTGTAGAGACAAAGAATGGATACAATCAGAATATTCCCAACAGGAGAATAACTGAATAAATTGTAATAATTCATACTGTGGACTTTAACACAGTCATTACAAATAATGGGGATAATAATAATAATGGGTTATGGCTGGGAATATTTATTATATATGAAACTTAAAAAGTCATGCAGTATGGTCTGTGGTGTAATCTTTTTGTAAATTTTTTTAAAAGCAAAGAAACATATGCCACACATATACATTAATTCTAATGCTTTTGTGATTCTATAGGAAGCATGGAAGGATCCCATTACCCAACACTGGCACAGTGGGTCCAGAATTGGGATAGATGGAGGCATTGTTATCATGTTTTCTTTGTTACACTTCTATGTTTCAGTAATTGCAACAAGAGTATATTACTTTTGAAGTATGAAAAAAATCCAACAGTGTTGGTTTCACAGAAAAAAAAAATACACATACACACACATACAATACGCAGTCACACAGTCAGCTCCCAATGACTATGTCTTCATCAATGTATGTCACTGGTCATGTGCATAATTCACAATGTGAATTTGCCTCTGATGTCCTGGGCCTTATAAAATTTTCAAAGAAACATAAGAAAGCTGCTCTGCTAAAGGACAACTATTCAAGACCTAGCTCCATGAGGCTCCTAAACTGTTCATACAGATGGTCATCTCTCAAAATGCACCAGGCATTCATCCACGAGGGAGACCAATCCAGCTCCCAGCTCCTAGCTGGGAGGCAAGGACCCAGGCAGCAACACCATTTGAAGGTGGTCTTTGGATGCTAAAATAGCAACTGCTCCCTCTGGCCAGACCTGTTGCCCCCCCCACCCCCTCCCACCACTTCCGCTCCCTGCCTATCTCCAACTTGGCCAAGGTGCTCCCTGAACTTTACATATCCTTCCCAAAGGCAACGGTTCTCCACGTTTTTCTTGAATGTTCACCTCTGCATGTGCGTCTTGTGTTTTTCCTAAAAAACAGGGGTATGACCTCCTTGAGGAGATTTACATTTGATTCTTGACTATGGTGCCTTATTCTATCCTTTTTGCCTCTGCCTAAGGGGGACAGTTTAAGTCTAAGGGCTAGAAGTATGGCCTCTAGGGTCAGAGCAACCAAGTACAAACCTGACCGTGGCCGTTTAGCTGGGCAACCTTGAGCAGGTGTGATGGTTAATTTCATGTGTCCACTTGACTGGGCTAGAGGATGCCCAGAGAGCTGGTAAAACATAACTTCTGGGTGTGTCTGGGACGGTACCTCTGGAGGAGATTAGCATTTGCATCAGTAAACTGAATAAAGAAGACTGCCCTCACCAAAGAGAACAGGCATGATCCAGTCCTTTGAGGGCCTGGATAGAACAAAAAGGCAGAGGAAGGGTGAATCTGCACCCTCCAACTAAGCTGGGACGTCTGTCTTCTCCTGCCTTGAGATACCACTGATAGGGCCAATTTAACGTTAAAACCTGTTAAACCCCTAGGGCCTGCCTGGGCCTACTTAGCCATAGTGACTCCATGTTGCCTAGGTAGCCATTTTGTTGTTTAATAAATGCCTCAGCAGTTACTGATACCAGTTCCGGGTAACCATTGCTAAAACACATACCTAAAACAAGGCCATTTTGTTGTTTAATAAACGCCTCAGCAGTTACTAGTATCGGATCCGGATAACCATTACTAAAACACACAGGTAGGAGACATCCAATCAGCCAAAGCCACATATGTAGATGTCTGTGGTTGTGCCCTATAAAACTAGCCTGCAAGACCAAGGGGCGTCGCTCTCTTCGGAGGCGGCCCTGGCCGGTCAGTCTGATTTCTAATGCTTGGCATAGAATAAAGCTTTACATAACTTTTACTTTGTCTCAGTCTCATTCCCCTGGCAGGTCAGTCTAACTTCTAATGCTTGGCATAGAATAAGGCTTTGCATAACTTTCACTTTGTCTCGGTCTTGTTCCTTTGATAACGGACCCAACACCACCACTCCTGGTTCTCAGACTTTCAGACTCCCACCGGGAATTACAGAATTGGCCCCTTGGTTCTTAGCCCTTTGGATTCAGACTGAATTATATCACCAGTTTCCCTGGTTCTCCAGCTTGGAGATGGTAAAATCATGGGATCTCTTGGCTTCCATGTTAGCCTCGAGTAAATGAATGAACGGATGAATGAGCAAGCTATTGGTTCTTTCTCTGGAGAACCCTGTCTAATACAGCAAGTTACTTACTCCCCCTCCATCTCAATGTTCCCAGCAGAAGCTACCAAGACTTCTTACAGCTTAGGCCCAGGCCTGAGACTGCCTCTGGTCCTCAGGATTCTACTGGCCAAGGCAAGTAGGAAACCCAGTCCAAATTCAAGTGGAGGGATCCGCACAAGAGTGTGGGCACCAAGGGCCACAGATTAAATGTGCTATCCCACCGCTTAAAACACTCAGTTTAACATCTGGCACATAGTACGTGCTCAAAAAATGTGAGCTCTTTTTCATTTGCATTATTTTCTCTTCAATAGAAATGAGTTATTTTTACAGTGGTTCTTCGCTTTGAACAAACCCCAGAGAAGGCCTAGAAATCTAGAGATTGTTAGAGCCCTCGCATTTCATTACAGAAGATGCAGCGAAGCTAGAATGTGGCCGTAACCCCATAGGGCAGATTTCAGAATAAAGCCAGAGACCCGAGTCACCATTCTCAAATGAAAAATATCCTTGCAGGCCAGTTTCCAGGTCTCAGGGGACAGGTATATATATATGTGGGAAAGGGCCAACGTTACCACCCACAGCCAAGCTAACATGCAAACGTGTCCCAACATAACAGGAACCAACCACCATTTCTGCAGAGGACAAAGTCAGGATGTGAAAAATGGTGTATATTCTGTATTAAAAGAATTATAAAGGTGCTGTGGCAGATTAAGTTTGAAGAAAGAAAACACGGCAACGAGAAAGTGGATATAAGGGGATAGAGTAGGAAATAGAGAAGTTACCCTAAAATCTCAAAAACATAAGCAGAATTTGTTATGTCCATTGTTGGCCCCAGACCCTAGAGGAACGCCTGCACATACCAGATATTGGCAGAATTACTCTGAATCGGGGGACGTTAAAACTCATAGGTTATACTTGTTGAAAGGAATAACGCTGAAAATGAAAAGTGAATTACTGTTTTGCAATTTACCCCTTCAAACTAAAATGGAGTCAATGCATATTTTTCACACAGTTTTTCTACTGTGTGGAGGTAATGTCTTCCCTTTTAGGTTTATTGTTAAAAGGCAGCTGTTTTTCAATGCCTTTGGGGAGTACCAAAAATCATAGCTAGGGCTAAATGGTAGAAAGGGAGGTTCAGGGAGGAGCCAGGAAGTGAAGCTAATTTACCAGTCTGCCACCTGTAGGCTGGTTCCAGCAGACATAAACATCAGTGCCCACAAAACAGACGACATGAAAATAATGCATATTAAATAATGCTAAAAACTGAGCAACAGATGTGTGAAAACTATATATAGTGGTCCATTTGAATCATGGCTCCCCCGTTCCTGCCTCGAATGTCCTCTCTCTGATTTAAACACCCGGAGCTGTGGCCACACACACTGTTGTTCCTAATCAGCTCTCCCAGACTCACCCATGGTCTGAAATAAGCTTTGGGAATTAATATCCCCATTAGGATGAAGGACCGCACCTGTGTGGATCAGGGTGTCACAGAATCAGTTTCAGATCTCATTTCAAAAGCCATGCGATGGGCTTGGACAACAGAGGCCATTACAAAAGAACAACAATGTGAAAAACCAAAGCTGGACAGAATTACTAAATTTCAACATTCAAGAACAAACACCAAACATTCATTACAAGGGCTTAGTTTGGATTTCTGGAGAAGGAATTAAAACATACTGAGTTAACAGTTTAAGCCTGTAAGATGTACTTCAGCACCATAAACCAAATGTAGTTACAGATGTCAAGACTTCTCAGAACAAGTGCTTCTCTTTATAAATGTCTGTTCTCCATGTATTTTTTCCGTTTCCATATGTCCACTCTTTATCAATATAAGGAAAGCACAACTTTCATCAAAAGGCTACAAAATACCCCCCCCCCAATTAATTTTTGGGGACAGTCGCTTCCTTGTAAGAGAGATCTCCCGGTGGCTTTCTCCTACGGAGGCTTGTTAGTCCCTGGCTTCTCTAATTTGGGGGTCAACAGCCTGAAAATCGGTCACCGTTGAGGTGTGGAGCTCAGAAAACTCGCCCCCGGACGCGGGTTTCGGGTCTCCTGCCCAGTCCCGCCGCCCACAAACCGTTCCGGACGCACGCGGGAAATGCCATGTCCACGACGCCAAGTCTGGAAGTGGCCGCAGGGGGGCCGGCCGGTCTCCGCGCCGGGGCTGACCCACTGCAGGATCGGACGCGCCCGGTGGCCCCAGCCCCTAGTTCCCGCCGCCGCGCAGGCGACACGCGCGCGGAGTCGCAGCCCCGCACCCGGATCCGGCCCCTCGTCCCCGCCTCGGTCAGGGCCTCCTGGCTGCTGAGTCTGTACCGAGCCGGGCCAGGGCGAGTCTCGGGTCCCCAGCGCGCAGAGTCCCTAAGGGCCCAGTGCAGACCCCGCGGCCGGACGCGCACCCGCTGCCCACCCCTCAGCCGGCGGTCCCCCGGGCCGCTGCAGGCTCGGCGGAGGGCGGGAGCCCGGCTTCGGTTTCCTCCAAGAAAAGTAACTCGGGGATCAGCGCTATAGGAAAGGGAAAGCGATGCTCTGAGAGCGGTGAGTAAGGTCCCCGGAGTATTCAGCCCGGAGTTTTCTGAACTGCACCCCGCGCTGCAGCAGCTCGGCCCCGGCGTTCGCGCCCCGAACTTGGAGCCCGCGGTGCCGTCCCGGGCGGGCTGTAGCCCTGGGGTCCGGCGCACCTCCCCGCCCGGCCGCAGACACTCACCGAGAAGCCGGCCCAGAAGGGGCAGGAGTGGCGGACGCGGGCCGAGGTGGTGAGCGCCAGCGCGGCGAAGCTGACGGCCACGATGAGGCATCCGAGCGCCATCTGCGTGGCCCCGAGCGCCAGCACGATGCGGGAGCGGCCCGGGCACTCGCGCAGGCGGGACAGGCTGCGGGGCAGCGCGGCGGGGCGCGGCGCGCGGGGACCGCCGGCCCGAGGCATCGCGCCGGGCGCCCGCACGCC